ACACTCGCCGACTCACACAAGCGTTGATGGTCGAAGGTCTCCGGCAGTCTAAGGGCCTCATTCTTCCTATTCACCTCAGCTGCCAGCCAAGAAGGCAGGTCCGGACAATCGTCGACCTTGTAACCCTGCTGAACATACAACAGCATATACGCCGTATGCGAGCTCGCTCTCTCCGGTGCCGTCCGTCTCCTCTTCAACGCTCGCTCCGAGGGGGACTCTCCAGCCTGCACCTCTCCATCGACCGGAGCCCAGTCAACCTCGCGAACATGTCCATCATCAAATCGCCACCATATACCAGTACTGTGGTCCTTGAGAGTGGCTGTGTAGTGACCTGCATGAGCCACAGTGCTGTGATGCTCCAGGGCACCTACACAGTCGTAGACCCTGGCGTTGAACGAGGTCAAGTCCAGACCAGTGAGAGGGAACGACAGCTCGGTCAGAATCTTCCGCCGGACCCCATCGGTGAAGGCATAACGATGCATGGTGATCCACAGGAACGGAGGGGCCGACTTGATCCACTGCCGACGGACCGCCTCGCAGTACTTGCCACATGCACAACAGTAGTAGTGGCTTTCGTCCGAGAACACCTCTGGAGCAAAAACGTCAGCAACCAGATCTTCCAGAAGGACCTCGCCACCAGTAGTAGGGGCGTAGGGCAAAGGCACCCGCATCTCAGCAAAGACCTCCGTCTGCCTGGAGATGGACCCACAGCTTCGACAAGTTGTCTCGTATATCACCAGGCCACCAAAGGTCTCTTCAACGAAGTCAGGCACTCCTTTCGGAATCTGATCAAGCCACACTATAACACCGCTGCCATCACCACTACGACTCACCAGTCGTTGAAGCCAACTTAGCAAGAGCATAGCCAACTCACTCGGGTCCTCATGCGTCGAAGTGTGGATCTTACACGCCTCCACGAATGCCGTCACCGACGACTCGCACGTTGCGCTGATACCACATTGCATCTCACCAAATAGCACCTACAATGGGGACACCAATGAATCGACCAAGGCGTGGCTGGAGGGCGAGGAGCCCACCTGCAGTGCCCTCAGGCTTGCTGCCTGCTGATTGAATGCCGAACTACGGCCGTTCAAGTCGGCGGTCGGAAGATTGAGGGTCGCCGTTCGGAAAGGCTTAGTGAAGAAGAGAGCTTGCAATAGGGAATTCACGTAACACGTAGCGCCCAAGTTGCGGATGCCAGCGAACGGCCCTACAACAGACACCTGTCGGCCACACGGCTGATGAACAAGACCCACCTGTTCTGATGGGCTCGAACCCTTTGTCAAGACCCAGCTCTTTCATGATGAAGTTCTTCTTACGCCACACTCCATCACGGAGGTTGAGGGAGCCCTGACCAGGCAACAACAGATCTTAGGTTCATCAAAACGTCACTGCGCCACGAAATCATCGACGGCAAGGAGGTGGGAAGACGTACGATAACATCGGTGGCATCTCCCTTGACTGGTCGCACTGATCGCTTGTCGGACCATCGAAGGCTTCTCACGTTGGCTGGCAGGTTGTAGTAGGGTAGCAGGGACACAACGCTCGCTGGGGTGTCTGGTGTGGGAGCTCTTACTAAGAAGTGGACAGACATGGCTCCGACGCTAAGGTGTTAAAAATGAACTGAAAATACCATAACTCGTC